TATTTAAAAAAAAATCTGGAATAAATTGATGCAACATAGATTTGATTGCAATATCGGATCTGATATTTATTGCAATATCAAAAGTTATAAAACGAATAGTTTTATGCAAGGAAACTAACATTTTTTTGGTAAATTTTTTCGAGATATTATAAATATATATATTAAATACAAAAAAATAAAACAGTGTGAAAATAAATAAAATTGATTTAGTAGTATTTTTTCATCAGACATAGCCAATAAGTCCTAATGGTTATTCGAAATATTATGGAATTATATTTACATTTTTTTATATGATTTAAAAATGTATTCCTGTGAGTGATCTTCTAAATTCAGAGCCCAAAAACACAAAAATCATTATGATTCCAAATAAATCCGATGGTCCTTAATATGGGCATTAAAAAACAATTCTCTGAAAGTTTTAGCTCTTAATATTGTCTTTTAGATAGAGCGCAATTCAATCAAAGTTTTTTATGTAAATAGCATGAAAAAAATTTCAAAAATTTTGTTGAGCGTCGAATTTTCAATAAAAAATGACACAAATTTTTACTTTTAATTTTTTATAAATTTTAAAATTTTTTTTCATACTATTTCCATACGAAATTTGATTGAATTGAATATTAAGAGCTAAAACTTTCAGGAAATTGGTTTTTATCAATTTGGAAGCATTTGAACACTTGGGAGCAAGGAAATTCAAAAATATCCATAGTAAGGACCACCCTAATCCATATGTTCTTCATCGATTACGTACAAATATTTTCATATAAGTAATAAACAGATAAATTTCAATTGTTTATTCTAAATAGTACAAAAATAATCTTAAAATTTAATAACAAAACAGTCATATTAATACTTATATTTGGTTTTGCTTAGGGCTACTAATTTAATCATTATATAAATTAAACAACATGAAATGTGCACTGACATCGCTAGAAATTGAAAACAAACATGAGAAACATCGAAAGAGGGGTTTTCTGGGTGGATAAAAGGTCTGAACACAATCTGAACACAATCCAATTATAAAAGATACAGTTGTTGTTGCTGCAAGCGAAATTTTTGAAATAAAAATTAGGTAGATCCTTTTTTCTATATGTAGTGCACATCACTTTGTTGTGAACATAAAAAATGAAATACAACAAATAAGAAACAAGACCATCGTCTGTATAAATTTAAATCAACAGGACGATATCTGGATCAGTATTGTGGTAAAAATATTTGTGTCTCTACAATTGTGACAATGATATTTGAAAAAGATGTTTTAATAACAATAATAGATAACTCATTTAGCAATTTTAGTAATACCCCGGCGTATATGAATTTCAACAAAAATAATAAATTTTATTTCCAAATCATTTTTATATAATACTGATGTTGATTTGGTACTGAAGGTTAAATTCATATTTGCTTTTGGCACTCAGATGGTTTATATTGAAAAATATTAAAATAACGAAATAAGCAAAAATTACTGCTATAAAGGTCAGCACAACACGACATTATGAATCCTATTGGCATTTTCCAACGAATTCTATACATGAAGCACTCGATGATTAGTATGCTCCTTATCCTGGTCTCCGTAGGCTAAATTTCAAAAATCTTGCAAAAAATCTTATCTCTTCTTTTATGAGCACAAATATTTTTACATCTACTCTTCTAATGATGTAAAACAGGAGCAGCAACTTGAGCATCAGAAGGTGGAGCTCTTTGTACTACAGCATTGAAACCATTAACTGGATCTGCAGTGTACACCACTGTCCTGAGAAGACCATCAGCATCCAACAATGAGTAGCTGCCTCTTACTACATCTCCATCCCTGCTCTCATGTTGAGATTTGGAGTCTCCAGTTAAAGAATCTCGGACATCATAGGCATATGTGTATTGAGGATGAGGATCCGAATCCGGGTCCACGGCTAGAGCAACCGGAGCAATTGCCGGGAGAACTCCGGCACTGGTCAGTCGTAGGGAGATTATGCAGAGAGCACAGGCAGTGAAGAAAATGAACTACAATTGATAATTGTAATTGGTAATAATTGATTATATGTATGATTATTATGTTTTATTAACGATGTAGAAATTATATCACTCAATTTTACACAAAAATATACGATAGTCTTATTGGCAGCGTTTGGAAAACCTATCAAAAGCGAAGTGAGTACAAAAGGTAACTTTTTTGGACTATAGTATTTGGATTTTAGAGGACAACGTATATCTTATCAAATATAATCGATTTTTTTATAAATTTTCTGTTGCACATGTTACAAACATGTGACCACTGTTTCAAGTTCATAGTGAAAAAACTGAGTGAGCTTTAGGCAAATAAAAATTGGTTGGGAAAGTTGACTTCCCAATTGGTGTTTGCGGTTGGCAAATATATATTATTATAAAGTATCATTGAAAGTATTGAATTAAAGTTGTAAACATATAGCATCAAAACAAATTGAGGGACACTGACGCTAATAACAATTTTATTAAGTAACCTTCTCATATACAGTTTAGTAATACTTTACTAAGTAAATGAAATATGTCGTAACCTCTCTTGTTGCATGTCACGCTGCATTTACATCACACGATTGTGGCATTGAATTTAAATAAAAATTCTAATGTCAAATATACGATTATATCATATTTTCCCAAACTTTCTAAAGTTTCGAATATGTAAGTTAATTATAATATAAGGTTTGAATAAAATCTGCTAAAGATTCTTAAATGCTATCAAAATATTTCATATAAAACATAATATCATTAATTCATAACACGTAGAGTTTAATATTAATAATTTATTCCTGGTATAATTTATGCAATAAATTAACTGTTAATTGATTAAAATGCGTGCAACTTTCTCCCAACACTGTGTGATACGAAATTAAAATGCAGATGCGATGTTTAAGAAAATATAAAAATAAAGAAGTAAATAATTAAATTAAATAATTCAAATAAACACTTGAAATTACTCATAATCTTCAGCAAAATAACGACCAAAAATTTGATAAAAACATTTAATGGTTTTGGATGTAATTGTAATGTTATTGATATTAAAAGCAATAACTTTCTGTTATGAAACTGATCCTTTCTTTCGTATATTTTATATACAATAGGAAAAGTATTTTTATTTCTCAGAACCAATTATAATGATACAAGTTGAAATATCAGAAATGCCGGCGGTGAAAGGAAATGCTATGGAAGCCCCTTTAGTCGAAGGACATCTGGACGAAGAAACGAGCGGAAAAAAGGTCAAGCTCTTCAAATCAGTTATTTAGATATGCTAATTATTCCGATGATCAATTTAAATGAGGTGATTATAAATCAGTGATCTCATCATATCAGGAACACAAGCATAGGAAATAAATATTGGTAATAAAACTAATTTTATTGTCAGCTATTTAAAATAATAATGTAAAATGTAATAACATGTGAATGGTGTGATGTTGCACACCAGCACTAAATATTGAAAAATATCAACTTAGCAGAAGTATAAGATTAAATAAAAATTTCTATTATTTAATAAAATAAAAAGTCTTATGTATGATGAAAAAAAAATTATATATGGCACTTAAAATACAAAGAAATTTAAAAAGAAATGTAACTTAGCAAATATTAAATTAGATTTCTAATTGGATCTACTAATTTTGATCAACATGATCAATTGCGAGAGAGATAAATATCCTTAAACCTTTAATATAATATTGATTTTTGATTAGGTATTACATGTATGTATTACGAAAAATTTGTTAAATAATTATTTGCCAAAGCAATGAGTCAGAAAGCAAAGAAAAATGTGATCATTAAAAGAAAAATAGTTACAATCACCCTTCTTCTCAAGTCATGCCGAGAGAATAAAAGTTGAAGGTATGAAAAATTATATTATGGTACAATAAAAATGTTTTTAAATTATAAATAGTAATTGTTTTAATAAAATACCCCTTATATTTATTTATTGAATTTACCAACTACAAAATAACAAAAACGTGCAAACCAAAATGTCATTGTATAGAGTCAAATAAAATTTATATTATGACTTGATTAAATTCAATTTAAATTGATATAAGATTGATATGGATAAAATCTAGTTTTTAATAATTTAATAAAATAAAAAAGTTTTATCCGACATGATCCGACCAATTGAAAAACATTCTGAAAGAAATGCGACTTAGCAAATATTAAATTTGATTTCTAGTTGGATCTACTAAGTCTGATCAACATGATTAATTGGTAGAAAGATAAATATCCCTAAATAGTTAATATAATATTGATTATTAATTAGACATTACATGAATTACGCAAAAGTTAATTAATTATTTGCCAAACCGATGAGTCAGAAAGCAAAGAAAAATGTGATCATTAAAAGAAAAATAATTATAATCACCTTCTTCTCTAGTCATTCACAAGAAAGTTTAAGGTGAAAAAAAATTATGTTATGAGACAATAAAGGTATTATTGAATTTAATTTATTAGTAATTGTAGTAATCAAATACCCCTTGTATTTAATTATTGAATTACAACACGAATTACAAAAGAAACCAACTACAAAATTACAAAAATGTGCAAGCCAAGATGCCATTATATAAAATCAAATAAAATTTGTATTTTGAATGGATTAAATTCAAATAGTAGTGGTTTTAAGTGTATTAAATTTAAAATCATGATTCAGTGACCTTAAATATAAATTACCAATTTATTGATAAAAATAAGAAGCAATCATGGTTTTGCTTAACTTCTCTACATAAAATAGATGTTGTTAATGATAATGCGCAATATATGGATGAGGAAAAGAAATTTAGACAGTTAAACATATGATCCTGAATTTAAAAAAAATGAGAAAAATAAAGAAATTTTGAAATGTAAAAATAATAGTATGAAAGAAGAAGAAAAAAAAATATACATAAGTTATTAAGGTATGTAGGGTAGAAATGTGGCTATATAGTAAGAGTAAAAATAAATAAATAAATGTAGTAGTTTAATTACATTAACAGCTCCATAGTGATAATATAACTTAAACGAATACATTTGCCAACCAAAAAATCTTATATTTTAATTTAAATCTTTTTTTAATCTAAATTTAGAAAAATATAACAATCATGTAGTCGAAGTGAATGTGAAAATTTCAATAATTAATTATTTATGCATATATAGCTCTATTGTGTGCAATTTTCTGGAGGTAGATAATTCTATTTACAAATCACAAAAAGATCAATAGAATTTACTATATCTATCTACTGTCTCTCACTTTCTTTCAAAATTACAATATTTATTACTTGGGAAAAATATGCTGCCAATATTTGACTTAACACACTCAAAATAATACAATTTTCTATCAGCGATATTATATCATAAAAAGAAAGAATCACTATCACTTACCTTTTGTGTCGCCATTTCTTTCTTTTATTAAAAACACACTGAAAACCAACACAAAACCCAGGTCGTTAGCACAAAGTTGAATCAAATCGAACACGTCAGTCGTTTGTGAAGAATCGTCTTTGCGATCGCCAACTTATACTTTTGTGATTTCGCGCGAATCGTCCGCTGGTAGGGATGCGCCTCGTGTGCCATCCGTGCCCGGAATGCCAAAATCGAAAAGAAATTAAATGCACTGCCAAAATAAAAACCGAATTGACCAACGAAAAATTAAATTGAGGCATCGATCGTGTATAGAATGGTTAAAGAGATCAAGTTGGAACAAATCGGTTAGTACGACTTGCTTTGGTTCTACTTTTGGGACGTCAGAACGCAGTGTACGTGAATGAGAGCAAAGAAGAACTTTCGCTTTCGTTTCGCAGAAGACGAAGTCTTCAGGTCGCGACGGTTGAATGTTGTGATATAATAGTGATATTTGCTGTTATTCAATTTTCATGGTACAATGCAGATAACTTTAAAAAGTGATAAAAATGTAATTAACCTACAACGTAATTGTTGGAATCAGTTCGTTGGAACATTTTCTTTGCATTAGATGCTTGAAGAATAATATATCTACTTGTTAATAAAATTACAAATAAATTTCATAAAAAAGTACTTACAAACATAAACAAGAAAGCATATGTAATTCTGAAGGAAATAGACATTAAATAAAATAAAACAAATTATAAAGGGTGCCATCGAACTCAGCGTCAAGCTGCAGTATGGCTTGACGTTACGGTAAGGTGACAGTAAAAACATTAAAAAAATTCATTTCACTCACAATCAGTATAAAGTTGACAAGAATTGTACCGTCTTGCAATCCCAATTAAATTGGTGGTTCTAGAATTGTTATTCACGATTACGGTTCCTAAATTTAAATGAACAAAATAATCAAATTTAACCACAACAACTGAAAAATAGTAACAGTTTTGACCGAAGCTCTAGGTTAAAAGCTCACAACTTGCAATCTGCAATGAATAAAAAAAAAATCATAATAGTTAAAATCAAAATTTTGTCGAACTAAATAGTTCTGGCGAACCCTATATTTATTTTTACTTGCTAAAAGTCAAATAAATAATAGATAGATAATTTTTAATTACATTAGCATATTTAAGTAAAGATGGGGTTGTATTTATGAATATACATTGAGTTTTCTGATACATTTTCGTGGAGAAGATCAGCCGATTGAAATTATCGACTCATCGCTTTATTTTTAACAGTCAATTTATTAGCTCAAAATTTTTTTCTTAATTCTGGTCCAACCATTACCAGGTTACATATATAATTAAACACTCAAAAATTGTATCAAATTGACTTTCAGATTTTAGTTTTAGCTATATCCATTACCACTTACATATATAGATCTAAAATATGTTTCTAAGTGTAAATAGCTTTTCTAGAGCATTTCTGCATCTAATTAGTGAATAATAGGTATATTATAGAAAAATGTACTAATAAAATCATTAAAATGTGGATAGGTTAACTATTGGGTTACAATCAGGTTACCAAAAACTGATGTAGAAGTAAATTTCATACACAGCAGCTTATAGAATATTACGATAGCAGTTGAAATAAGTATAAAAAAGCTATTAGCTTTCTTCATCGGGTGTAATATATGTGAATTTTCAAAATTTCATATCTAGTAATACAACATTTTCAATTTGACTTCAAAAATTCAAATAGTTTAGTCTTTAAAATTTTCAATCTAAAATTATTTAACTTCTTCAGACTTTAACTTCTTCAGAAATTCAAAGAAACATATTTGTTAAGAGGAAATCATCATCGCTTTTCTTTAAAGCACAACGTCAAAAACTTCTAATTTCTACCTTAGATAGGTTTATAGTTCAATATCAAAATTAATTTTAATCATAAACAAAATTTTGATAGGTCAAAAGAATATTTTTAGCGAATTCAAATAGAAACAAATACATTAATTATTCCAACTGATATTATAGACGATATTACAAATCACATTTTAGATACAGAATAATAAAATTTATCAAATTTAAATAAATTTGGACGGTTATGAATTTAAAACAAATGCCAAAAATGATGTTTGTTAATGTTCCGGGAAATTTATGAATAAATTGATTTATGATTGAGTTTGAAATGTTGGTTGTCAAACTAATTCAAATTTCAGTCAGGTGGATTTTAATAAGGGCCGTCGCAACGCGAGGCTGGGTATGCCAGTCAAACGATTTTAACTTTACTAGTAATATTATCAATTTAATCTCAAAAATTAAAATATTATAGTGCCAAAAGTTTTAGTTCAAACTTACATTTTAAACACTTACCAACATCATATATATAAAAATGGAGCTCACGATCAAATGATCTAGTAAAACTCGAAAACGGCGAAACCGATTTAGCCAGTCTTAGTCTTGAAAAATTCGTGCTAATCAGTAGGTTGTCGGAAAGGTGAGATATTATTTCAAAATCGCGTAGAAACTTTACATTTTTAATTTGAATTTTTTTGTAAAAGTGTAATTTGAATAAAACAATGGACGGTGGCTAAAACGTGAAATTACGTTTAATAGAATGTTTTACGTGAATATTATTTAATTGTGAATAAATTGTAGTAAGTAGTTCTGTTTGTAGGTTTTTCTTTTACACAAAAACGTTATTAAACAGGCCGGAAGAGTTACTAGAAACTCAAAATATCAACTTTTTCACAATGCTAATACGAAAATGCATTTTTTGGAGTTGTAGCACTCTTTATGCAAATCATATTTGTCTCAAACAAGGTGCTCTGAAAGATCTCATTTGTATAATTATATACTCATTGGTGTTTATAAAACATTTTCTAGATTATATTATTTTTTATTCATATTATTTCAATTCAGAACCTAAATTTGGGATCGATCAAAGGGTCAATTTGTCGAATAACATTTTCCCAGTTATAATTTCCCAGAATTTATAGAAGAATATATGAAAGTCCGGGGTTAAAAAAGTCCACTACCGGTGTGTCAAAAACCACTAAATTTAAACATTGTTTAACAACAATATTTGAAAGTAGAGGGAAAAAGATGTATAACCAGCTATAACCTTGATTCTTATGACTTTGCTATTGGGAGATAAACGGTAATCTTTGAAAATCCATAATAGAAGTATTTTCTTCCGTTGGTAGTTTCTTAGCATTAGTTAAAAATGTAATTGTTTTGTAAAATACCTATAAAGTTAAAATAAGTGTTTGTCACCTGGCCGTTTCAAGTTACTCCGCCTATAGGGTAAAAAAGTCTATATAACAAATTTTTGAAAGACAGCAAAAAGCACCTTTTTACAATGATGAAGTAGCTGACAGTTTTACTGAACGTAGTCAGATAATTATTCGTTTGAAATGTGTTATTTGTTGTGATATAATTGGTTTAATTTATATAATATCATTAATATTTGCTCAAAGTCAAATTGGACCTTTGTGCCTTGCCCTTTATTAAATTTACTTTAATTCATCGAATGTTACTTGAAACTTCTCAAAAAGCAGGTCAAAGAAGAAATACTTAATTCATTTTCTATCTCTCCTCACTGAAATTTGAATTTTTTTTATAAGCTCAGTAGTATTATTTACAATTATAAACAAAATCCAGAATCCAAAAAGAATCTGAAAACCTTGAAACGTAATCAATAAGTCGAAAGACCGAAAACGACTTGGATGGTTATACTATGTTTTCTATAGAAAGTGTATAAATCTTCCAGTTTGATTGTACTGACAAAATATAGACAAACTAATGGGGTTTATTGTTTTTATAATACTTCATTGTATAAAGCATTCAAACAACACATCCTTATACACTTACAGTATTAATATTTTGATTCTCTAGAAATTGTTTAGTTTCCTTACTTCTAGAAATTGTTTATCATACCTTACTTAGCAAAACAACGTTTGCCGGGTCAGCTAGTATTTTAATAAATATATACTTTCTCCAAATTAAATCATATTAAAAGGAAAGTACCTACAAACAAGTTTCCTTAAAACCCAATGTCACATGCTTTTAATTCTACCTTAGACAGGTTTATTGGGTTTATTGTTAAATATCGATTGGGCTATGTTGTCGTTTTCATATAATTCGGTTTATTTCGATGAAGAAGCTCCGTTCGCCTTACAACTGATGCGGGATTACATGTGGAGTGATGTAATCCATATGGATTACCTAGTATAGTAGTTTCCCGTGGAACCGGATCGTGTCTGCTCTGAGGTCTTTGTGCAAATGTCGTGCTGATCGCATGCTGAACCTCACACAACGACATTTGCTTGTACCAGAATGTTCAACTAGTTGTCATATTGTATTAACCCATATTACACGGTAATGCTATTGATAACATCAAGAATCGATAACTTATGCATGGGTTTAGTTTGTAAACCTTAAAGAATACTTTTACATCTCAAACTGTTGCAATAATTTGCATATGGTATACAGATTTTAAACGCTTCGATTAATTTTAATAATATAGAGTTCAGAATTCAGTAAGATATAACGTTTCTAGAAATAAAAAAAGGGTAAAAAGAAGTAATAGATCGACTTTATTGATAAAGTACACACTGGGAAATAGGTCTCATAATATACGAAGCAGGTATTTAAAAGATGAAAGATAAATCGATATTTACAAGATAAAATAAAGCTAGTGGGGAGCATGGCATCGTGCCTTAAGCAAATTGCTGGTACTTCCCGTACCAAAAATTATTTTTTTTAAAATGATTAACATTTTTGAAAAAAATTTACTCTAAAAAAATTAGATTTTTGAGAAAGTATAAATTTTTGACAAAAATCACTTTTTTTTGAAAAAAAAAAAGACTTTTTGAAGAAAAAATTATTTTGAAATATTTTTGAAATTCTGAACTTTTTTTCAAAGCAATCTGCTTTAACTGCATAGAGCCGAAATATCGAAGCGCGTAAGCGACGCGTCGCCGTCTAACGGATAAAAATTGGTACGGAACCCATAGGAATGTAAACAAAATGTATACTCATTGTTAAAATCTCTAT